ACGGCGAGCGATGGGCCCGTCGCCACCGGAGCTGCAACCGTCGTTGTCGGAGCTGCAATTGCAGGCCACAGCTGTTGCATGCGTGGAGTCAGAGACAAGTGCAGGCGGCGACCAACGGCGAGGTGAGGCGCTCGGCGGCGAGTGCGGCGACCGGTGGCGAGGGCGGCGAGGGCGGCGAGGACGGCCGATGAGGTGCGGCAACCGGAGAGCGTGTGACCCGGCGAGACAAAGGGGGCAAGGAGAGGCAGGGGGTCTTGTTTCGTACGTGACCATGCTGCAGACACCTGCATCGATTGTACAACTGCAGACGACTTAATCAGACGGCTGAAAGTGGACCGGCCGAACGATTAGGCCGGTGCGCCGGCGCTTATTAGTTGCCTTTATGTAAAGACCATGCCAAAATCGGTTACAGTCGTCATGAGCAGAGTATTCGGATAGAAATATAGTGCAAAATCTCAATGAAAATAAAATAAAATTTGAATCTTAACAAGTACACCCAGCAAGAAAATTAAGGGAGCGTGCATGTGCTTGTATGTCCATATTTTTTTTCTACTAGAAAATGTAATACATACAAATTAGACTATCCAGAGATCCACATCAGCACGTTGAACACCCGGTACATATTGCAGTGTGACTGTAGTAGCTGATTTGCTAATGCATAAGCTTGTGTGATTCAAGGCCTTGCGAACACCCTCAGACCACTCGTCACAACCCGGACCCGGGAGTTTTCCCTTTTTCGTAGATTCATTTATTCAAAATGTTTTATCTCTTAAATCGTGCGTTTAAATCTCGAACCGTTTTCATCGTTGAATTCCTTGCATCGAGATCTTCAAAATTAGATCCCATGTCGATAGATTTTGACGAACTCTTTTTTTCATGAAAAAACCAGACGAAGAAAATCAGACAAAAAAACGAAATCAGAAGCACGGGGATTTTCCCTTTCTGAAAGAGGCACGCCCGTGCCTCTCGTAATCACAACCGTGTCTCTCGCGAAAGCAAAACCGTGCCTCTCGCCGAAGGAAAAAAAGAAGAGAAAACGCGTTTTTTTTCGTTTCCGAGGAGGCACGGTCGTGCCTCTGGCGAAAGCACAACCATGCCTCTCGCGGAAGCAAAACCGTGCCTCTTGCGAAAGAAAAAAAACGTGTTTTTCCTTTTTTTTCTCGTGGGAGCACAGCCGTGCCTCTCACGGAAGCAAAACCGTGCCTCTCTTGGAAGGGAAAAAACAGAAAACACGTTCTTTTTTCTTTTTCGAGGGCACGGCCGTGCCTCTTGCGAAAGCACAACCTTGCCTCTCTCGAAAGCAAAACCGTGACTCTCGCAGAAGGAAAACAACTGTTTTTTTTTTCATTTCCGAGAGTCACGGTCGTGACTCTCGCGAAAGCAAAACTGTGATCCTAGCGAAAAAAACGCGTTTTTTCATGCAATTTTTTTTGTTCCAAAAATCAAGGAGAACCGGTGAAAAACTGAAACATCGAAAAAATCCAGAAAAAATCTTTTGAAAAGCCAAAAACACGTGCGTAAAAATAAATAAAAAACAAATTTGGAGGGAGCTCGACACATGGCGGGCGGCTGAGAGCGCGCCAAACGGCGTTGATCGTTGTGAGCCTCCCGAAGGAGCGCTCGTTAACTAGTTGCTCTCGAGCTCTCCTCGTACCCAAAGGATTCGAACCCGCGCCGTAGCCTTTTATTGTGCCACGGGATAACCACCCCGCCACTTGTCCTTCTCTGGACAAGTATATTTACTTACCTCTTTTGTTCTTTCATTTGCATTTTTCTTTTTCTTCCTTCTTTTCTTTTTCCTTTTCCTTTTCTAATTCAACGAAAAAGTTCACTGGATTTCATTCAACTTTCGATGAACTTTTCCAAAATTTGATGAACTATTTTTCATGTTCCATGAACTTTTTCCCAAATTCGATGAACTTTTTTTCAAATTCAATGAACTTTTTTCCAAAATTTGATGATTTCTTTCAACTTTCGATGAAAAAGTTCACCGGATTTCATTCAACTTTGATGAACTTTTCCAAAATTTGATGATTTTTTTAAAAAAATTGATGAACTCTTTTTTAAGTCGATGAACTTTTTTTCAAATTTGATGAACTTTTTTCAATTCGATGAACTCTTTTTTAAGCCAATGAACTATTTTTCAAATTTGATGAACTTTTTAAAAATTTTGGAATTTTTAATTGTAAATCAATGATTTGTTTTTTTTTTCTGAACGACCAACACAATACAGCCGAAAAAAAAACAATTGCAAGCGTGTTGATCAAACGAATGAAGCAAAGCGGGAGCGAGCGAGGTAGCGACGGGTTAATGGTCGGCCCATGAAGGGGTCGCGCGTGGGCGCCGGTTGCTCGAAGTGGCGCTGAAGGCGCCGACGAGGAGGGGAGCTCCTACCAGCCGCTCTTTGCGGCAGGGAGTCGGGGGCACACACAGGGGTCGCCCCGACTCGGCCGACTCAATTGTTTTTTTGTCTAAAAAACAGATATTATCCTTTTTCTCTTCTTTTCATTTTTTTTATTTTTTGCTTATTTTCTTATTTTCTCTTTTGAAATCCAAAATGAAAAAATGTTGAATTTCTCAATTATTTTTTGAAAACATGAACGTTTTTTAAAACAGAGAACAAATATGAAAACATGAACAATTTTTTAAACACGGAAATTTTTTAAAGTTTGAGAACAAATTTTAAAACAAAGAATAATTTTGAAAAATTCTGAACAAATTTGGGACCACGAACAAATTTTTAAAGCATGAAATTTTTTTGAATCTTAAGAAGAAAATTTTGAAAATGAGAACCATTTTAAAAAACCCCGAACAAATTTGGAAGCGTGAACAATTCTTTAAAAGCACAGATAATTTTTGAATCTTGAGAACAAACTTAGAAAATGAGAACCTTTGTAGAAAAATCCTGAACAAATTCATAAACGTGAACAATTTTTGAAATACGAACATTGTATGAATTTTGTGAACAAATTTCGAAAAACAAGAACATTTTTTGAAAACCCAGAACATTTTTTTGCATATCCACAATTTTTTCTAAAAAGCAAAGACATTTTCCGAATTTGAGGAACAAATTTTGAAAATACCTAACATTTGTTGAAAATCCAGAATATTTTTGGAAAATCCGGAATATTTTTGGAAAATCTAGAATATTTTTGGAAAATCCAGAACATTTTCTGAAAAAAGCAGAAACATTTTCCTAATTTGAAGAAATTTTTTCGAAATCTCAGAACATTTTCTAGAAATCAAGAACATTTTTCGAAAAAGCAAAAACATTTTCCAAATATCAAGAACATTTTTTGAAAATCCTGAACACTTTTTGAGAATGCAAAACATTTTTTAAACCGAAACAGAAAAAGAAAGAAACAGAAAAGAATAAAGAGAAAAGAAAACGAAAAAACAGAAAAAGAAAAAACGGTTCTGGGAACTCCCAAAACCGGAATAAACCGGCTGGGAAAGTCTAGAAGGTCCCAAAACGGGATCTGTGAGACGTGTTAAACAGGCCGGCCCATTTAAATCGCTCGCCTGTGGTTGCCTGTGCGTTTGCCCGACATTTTGACGCAGCTAGCGTCAAACAGGATATTCCGACGAGGAGGTCTCCTCCTCGTACGTCTGGACTGATGGTGCCAAGCTACGTGTGCCCCCACTCGGCCTATTACATTGCCCCCACTCTCAGCCCAATTTATTGTTTATTTTCGAAAGCCCATATATTCTAAATCTGTAGAAGCCCACCACAATGAAAACAAGCTACGTGATGGACCAGTGAGGCCCTAGACCCCTGATCCACATCCACGCACACACAAAAAGTATTCTCAAAAAACAAACACACACACAGAAGTAGTGAACACACGATACGGCAGCCACGCTGATATGACAGCCCCCCAATCCTGCCGCTCACGCTAGGGTGGCATCACGCAGTCTCTGGCTCGGCTCGCTGCCGGCAATCAGACTTGCCGTCGCCTGTCTCTCGCGCTTGCATGCCGCCTCCGCAACACAGTCTCATTACCGATTCTGCAATTTCAGCGTTCTAATTGACATCAAGTAAGACGCATAGTAGATCATTAGGGTTCTTTCTTTTCAAAAAATTATTCATTTCCAATTCCTGTGTATACAAACCGTAATAGTGTCATCAATTTATGTGTATAATTTACCGATTTAGATGACTAGATTGGTTCAAACAATTTTCTCTTAAGATTTAAATGTTAGTCTAGACGAAGACACCCAAAATCTGGGTCATCTATTCTTACTAGTTCCAGCAAGATGATTGCATATTACAATCCCAATCGGCATGACGAAACCAGCCTCGTCCTAAAAAGTTGAAGCAAAGGACAATTGTGACGATCAATCAACATTTTAGTGTTGATTGGTATGAACCATAGTCGTATTTGATTTGTAGAAAAGGGATTGCTGTTTTTTCTCTAATGAAGTGATAATTAAACGTTCTCATGAGGTGAAAAAATCGCCGTGGGACAAAGCAAAATGCAATGTGTTAAACGCTCTTTTTCGCTTGTATAAAGGCGTCCTTCAGTATTTTCATTCTCCCTTCGTTTGGTTAGGATTTTTTTTTTCTTCCAGGTTGTAGGTTAGATTGTTTGACAATGCATCAATGTTCTCTTATGCAACTTCGGAACAAGATATTAACATTCCGTTGTAAGTCATTTTGTTTCAAATTGATAATTTTTTCTTTCATGAATTTGGCCATCTCAAGGAGAATGAAGTGATTGTGCCTAGGTTTCAATTTATATGGACGATTGCATTGTTAATTCTTGAATATGACCACACATTATTGCCCCCTCTCAATTTATTTTCTTTCCAGGGTCCTCCCTGACTTTAACCATGCATGGCAAACCATGAAGTTGCCCCCGCCTTGCCCTCCTAGCCTTCGCATGTTCACCAGTAGCGAGTGGCCAGAAACGAGCACCGTGTTATTAGCAACCACTTCCCCGGCAATGTCCTAGGGCGCAGCGAGCTATTCTCGCAGAACACACCCAAGCACGCCCCCCATGATGGCCCAGCCTAGCCTCCTCCTCCTCGCCGCAGCGGTGGTCCTCTCGCTGTCACTCTGCGACGCACACAACAAGCTCGCCAAGAAGAGCGATGATGTTGTCAACGGGCCCCTCCTCACCTCTAAGCTCAACGCCAAGCGCACGCTGATCGTCGGCCCCAATGACGAGTTCAAGACCATCCAGTCCGCCATCGATGCGGTGCCGAACGGCAACTCTGAGTGGGTTGTCGTCCACCTCCGCGCCGGTGTCTACGCGTACGTATATATGCATGCACAATTATTTGTTCATGTGGACGCAGCGCAATTAGAAGAAGGCATGTGTTTTTTGGGTGTGGGTGGGTTTTCACAAATGCGCGCGTTATCGTATGGATGCAGGGAGAAAGTCGTGATTCCAGAGACGAAGCCGTTCATCTTCGTGAGGGGAAACGGCAAGGGCCGGACGTCCATCTCCTACGAGTCCGCCTCCCCGCACAATACCGAGTCTGCCACGTTCGCCGTGCACGCAGACAATGTCATCGTCTTTGGCATTAGCTTCAGGGTGCGCTCCTAGTTGCTTTCCTCTTCTTTCTCTTCCTATTCTCGAATTGCCAGCGTGTGTAAAACTTCGTCCGAAGAACTTATTCTCATAGATGTGCACAGAACGCGGCGCGCGCGGGGCTGCCGAACAACCCGGAAATCCGCACGGTGGCCACCATGGTCAGTGGCGATAAGGTGGCCTTCTACCATTGCGCCTTCTACAGTCCCCACCACACCCTCTTCGATAGTACTGGCCGCCACTACTACGAGAGCTGCTACATCCAGGGCAACATTGACTTCATCTTTGGCGGCGGCCAGTCCATATTCCAGTGCGCGGAGATCTTCGTGAAGCCCGACCGGCGGACGCCGATCCTGGGGTCCATCACCGCGCAAGACCGCAAGGAAGAGAGCGGCAGCAGCGGCTTCGTCTTCCTCAAGGGGAAGGTGTACGGTGTCGGGGAGGTGTACCTGGGCCGTGCCAATGAGGCCTACTCGCGCGTCATCTTCGCCGACACCTACCTCTCCAAGACTGTCAACCCTGCCGGCTGGACCAACTACAACTTCTCTGGCAGCACCGAGTATGTTACGAACGCACAAACAAATTCAAACAACGATCAAGCATCCGACCGATGAATTAACTGCAAATCTTGAAATGATCAATAATATATGTCTGTGCTTGCTTTGATTTTGCAGACACGTGATGCTAGGGGAGTTCAACTGCACGGGGCCGGGGGCCGACAGATCGCAGCGTGTGCCATGGTCGCGACAGTTAGACCAGGCGGAGGCAGCCAAGTTCCTCACCGTCGACTTCATCAACGGCAAGGATTGGCTCCCAGCGTTCTACTACTGATCATCAGACTCAAGGAACATTAAGTGCTTACTTGTTGCTTGCTTGCTACTCCGTCTTGTAATGTTCATGTGTTACGAATGTCCAAAATCTGACTGAGGCTATATGATTTATCTCTGTAGATGTAATTCTCTTATTCGTAATACCTAGGTGTGCATGTTAATCTACATGTTAGTTAGTGAAGTAAGTGTAATGAGGCACCTTATCGAAAGTGTGCGTGACACTGTCACCTGTATCATCGCTTAGTTGGGATTTTTCATGTTAATCTAATGAATTTCATGGAGCCACACCCACGCATACTCAGATGGTCCAAGGGCGGCTGCCAACATGGAATATTAGGTGCGATCATGCGGTCTCCTTGCCCTTGTTTGGTTTGTGCGAACTCTCATTCTTACTAACTAACTAATAAGATGACAAAATTCTTTTGTCCATTTCAAAAATGAATTATCTGCACCACCGTACTGTATTGACATAGCAAACAAATGTGTATTGACATACGATTTGGCTAATCGACTTTAGTGAGTTTGATCTTGTTGTTCGGCAGAGTCCTCCCCATGCCCATAAAAAACTTGACTAGTAGGTGGATAGAAGCATCACCATCTTTGTATATGATTTCGTTAAAGCCTGAGGTATTTGCACTTGAAATCCATGAGGTCCAGTGACTTGTGGAAAACGTTTCGTTAGGGCTTGAGGGTCCTGGCGATTTGGGGGCGACGCTGCCGCCGCCAGGCTTCAACCTGGCCGCCGTTGGTGATATATCCGTGTGCGTGCTTCGGCCGCATGACGGAACCGTTGCGGCCTCGTCCGCCTGTCCACCGCTGGGCTCCCAGGGCCGTAGCGGTCCCGCTGTTGTTCGATCTGGAAAGGCCAGCGCCTCATCTGGTTATTCGCTGCTGATCGAGGATGTTGCACCACCAGGCGGGGGAGGGCACCCCCAATCAGATGGTGATAGTCATGGAGAAGGAGCAATTTTGCGAGGGGAACGCTGCATTCCCCGTCCAGCCAGTGTTCAGTTTGACCCCGGCGGCTCCTCCAGGAATCCTAGTTCTATATCGCCACCACCGTCGCACAGGCCGACGGCTGCATCAGTGATCCTGAGCTTTGGTGGGGGTGAAAAAGGGGCATCCGGTGAGGACGCTACCCACCCGAAGCCAGCCGACAGGGGAGCTAAAAGCCATGCGGCCGCGAGTCCGGTGACGCAAGCGGCACAATTGCCTCGAACAGAGCTACCGGGGAACCAGACTAGCAACCTGAATCTTTTGAGTTGGAACTGCCGAGGAGGAGGGAATGCTCGGACTGCTAGTGATCTTGTGAGCTTGGTGAAGAGTTATTCTCCTAGTATTGTTTTCCTTTGTGAAACTAGGCAGTCGAAGGAAAGAATGAAAAGATATAGATCTCGCCTAGGGTTAAGTGGCTTTGAAGCAGTCGATACTGTTGGTCCTAGTTGAGGTCTTGCTCTCTATTGGCATGAGTCGTTGAATCTCGATGTAAAATCTATGAACGAAAGGCATTTCGATGCTTATGTGAGTGGCGCGGCGGGAGAGCCCCCTTGGAGGCTTACGTGCGTCTACGGCGAGACCCGAACGGAGGACCGACACCGCATGTGGTCGCTTCTCCGGGACCTATGCCACCAAGTTGACATGCCATGGGCAGTGATTGGAGATTTCAATGAGGCCATGTGGGGTTTCGAACATTTTTCTGAGACTCCCCGATCGGCAGGTCAGATGATTGATTTTCGTGATGTTTTGGAATTATTTGGCCTCGGTGATCTTGGTTTTTCAGGTCTTCCATATACTTATGATAACCGGCGGTCTGGCCGAGCGAACGTCAAAGTACGGCTTGACCGTGCGGTGGCAAATAATCTATGGCGGGACATGTTTCTAGAGGCAGGTGTCAACCACCTTGCTGCTCCCTCGTCGGACCATGCTCTGATCCTCTTGAGGTGCTTGTCCGAGCCACCAAGAGAGAGTACCGGCAGGAGATGTCGCCACTATGAAGTGGCTTGGGAGCGTGACCCGATGCTGCCCGAGGTAATCATGCAAGCCTGGACTTCAGCGGGTGCCATGGGCAACCTTGGTGACGTGGCTGTGGCCCTGGGTGATCTCATGCAAGCGCTTCATGGGTGGAGTAAAAAGCAATTTGGTAATGTGGTGAAGGAAATAAATAAATCTCGTACTCGTCTCGAGAAACTAATGGCTATGAATGCCGATAGGAGGACCATTAGAGAAGCTACTGACCGCATGAATGAGCTTCTTTACAGGGAGGAGATGATATGGATGCAGCGCTCTCGCATTGACTGGCTGCGGGAGGGCGACCGAAACACAAAATTCTTCCACCGTAAGGCAGTTTGGCGTGCGCGTAAAAACAGAATTAAATCACTTGTGGATGATAGTGGTGTGATGCAGCAGGACAGCGCCACTATGGCGGGCATGGTGACAGATTACTTCACAAGTCTGTTTATAGCTGATCCGACACTTAGTGCAGACCATGTTATTGATCTTATCAAAGCTCGCGTTACTGATAACATGAATGAAGCCTGTGTGCGGATTTTTCTAGTAAGGAGATTGCTAACCGGATCGGATGGTTTTCCGGCGCGTATGTTCCAGAGGAACTGGGCCATAATGAAAGACCAAGTTATTGCTGGTGTAAAAGAGTTTTTCCGGTCGGGGGTGATGCCAGAAGGGGTGAACAATACTGCTATTGTGCTTATCCCAAAAGTTGACAACCCGGTAAAACTTACTGATTTTAGACCTATAAGCTTATGCAACGTTATATATAAAGTGGTGTCCAAGTGCTTGGTTAATAGGTTGAGGCCAATCCTTGATGACATTATATCACCAGAGCAAAGCGCCTTAATTTGTACCAGGAAGAATGATAACAGATAATGTACTGATTGCATTTGAGTGCATACATCATATCCATCAAGAGAAGGATCCGGCTAAGAGTTTTTGTGCCTATAAGCTGGACCTCTCAAAGGCATATGATCGAGTTGATTGGGTTTTCTTGAAGCGGACGATGCAAAAGTTGGGTTTCGCTGACTGATGGGTGAACTGGATTATGACTTGTGTCACCTCAGTTAGATACACTATCAGATTTAATGGCACCCTCTTGGATTCGTTTGCACCGTCGCGTGGGCTACGGCAAGGTGACCCTCTCTCCTCGTTCTTGTTCCTGTTTATTGCCGATGGACATTCTGCCTTGTTGAAGGATGGAGAAGAGAAAGGAAAATTTACATCCCTGAAGGTATGTCGGCGGGCTCCCGGTATTTCTCATCTCTTGTTTGCCGATGATACATTGCTTTTCTTCAAGGCGGAAACACAGCAAGCGGACGAAGTTCACTCCATTATCATGGAATATGAAGGAGCCACGGGCCAGCTTATTAATTCTGCCAAATGCAGTCTAATGTTTGGCAAAGCATGTCCAGAAATAGTTCAGGAAGAGGTGCGTGCAACATTGCATGTTCAAGTATCCACTTTTGAAGAGAAATATTTGGGCTTGCCGACACCAGACGGGAGGATATCAAAAGGCAAATGCCAGAACTTGCAAGCTCGGTTAACCAAAAGAATTATTGCGTGGGGTGATACCTTATCTCTGGCAGGAAAGGAAACGATGATAAAAGCAGTTGTGCAGGCCATTCCCGCCTATATGATGGCGGTGTTTAAGCTACCTATGTCCGTATGTGATGATCTTAATAGGATGGTCCGTAACTTTTGGTGGGGATCATCTAAAGGCAAGCGAAAAACTCACTGGCAGGCGTGGCCAAAAATCCAGAAGCAAAAACTTAGTGGGGGTTTGGGATTCCGCGACTTCAGGGTGTTCAACCAAGCTTTGCTAGCGCGACAAGCTTGGCGACTTTTGACTAAACCTGAGAGTCTTTGTGCACAGGTATTAAAAGCTCGATATTATCCGGAGGGGCGACTAGAGGACACGATCTTCTCAGGAAACGCTTCGGTAACATGGCAAGCGATCCAGTATGGATTAGAGCTCCTGAAAAAGGGTTTGATCTGGCGGGTGGGCAGCGGTACGCAAATCCGCATCTGGAGGGACCAGTGGTTGCCCCGGGAGCCGTTGGGCCAGCTCATTACACCCCAAGGGACTTGCCGGTTACGTCGCGTCGCAGACCTGATCGATGCCAATGGAGCAGGGCGGCTGGACCTCCTTCAACAACACTTCCTGCCGGTCGACGTCGACGCCATCACGCGCATCAGGACGTCCCCACGCGTCCCTGACGATGTCATTGTCTGGGCCCCGGAGAAATCCGGTGTCTTCTCAGTCCGGTCAGCATATCGCTTTGCCATGGACGAGCGCGAGCGTCCATCGGCAAGCGCCTCGAGCAGGGCACCGGATGGTCGTCGCGCCATCTGGAAGACTATATGGGGGTGCCCTGCTCCCCCTAAGGTATGCGTGTTTGCTTGGCGTCTGGTCACAAATTCACTCACCACTTGGGCGAACAAATTCTCTCGAACTTTGGAACCTAATGATCTGTGCCCTTTGTGTGGTATGGAACGCGAGGATGGATACCATGCTATGTGCAGATGCCCACGTGCGAAGGAACTATGGCGAGCCATGGCAACTGATTTGCCTATCCCAGACGTCGAGACGGTGCGCAATACGGGGCCTGAATGGCTGTTCGGCGTACTAGACAAGCTGCCAGAAGTCTCCCGCATGGTGCTGCTGATGGTTCTTTGGCGCATATGGCATGTTCGAAATGAGATTACTCATGATAAGGCGCCTCCTCCTACTGAAGCTTCCCTGTAAGTGCATCTAGTGCCCCTTAGTGATTTTGGTGTATTGAAGACTTATAGGTTAAGGGACTAATGCGTTTGTGAGTGTACACAGATCTATAAGTCTATGAGTAGTTTGATATTTGTAGAGAAAGTCGACCCCTAAAAATGAAGTTCTTCGACTGAAGACTTTGATAATCTGAAGACTTTCTGAAGACTTTGAAAGTGAAGAAATTGGTGTGACCTTGAAGACTTGGCATTCATTTGAGGAACATGAAG